TGACAATGAGGATCGGTTGAAAACAAAACTTTACGACAAAAGAGATGATTTCACCTTCCCAATTGTGAACTTTCCATTTCTCTGTAGCAACATTCCAGCAGCTCCTGCATACGGAGTATATATCTCCCAATTGATACGATATTCCCGGGCTTGTATGACCAATCATGATTTCCTTGATAGAGTGTTGCTGCTCACAAGGAAGCTCTTAAACCAAGAGTTCCAAATGGTGAAGTTGAAATCATCCCTTCATAAATTTTACGGACGCCATCACGAGTTGGTTGACCGTTATGGAATATCCGTTTCACAGATGATGGTGGATATGTTCCTAATGTCGTAACTACAATCCCGTCCCCTTTTCACAAATGTGATCTACCGAATTAGACTTGTTTCCGGGTTTGTACTAACAGGATCAACACTACGGGTGCCACATGTGGAGCAGGATCTGCTTACCCTTCCGGAGCACCTGAGACCAGTGTGTGGTGGGGTTCATGTTGCTTAGTCCTTAGTTTTCTATTTTGTGTTTTGTGTACTATTGCTTGTCTGTTGGTCTTTTTCTTTTTTAGCCATGGCGTTGTCAGTTTATTTTCAATTTATGAGATTGAATGTCCCTCTGGTATCTTTCGCCCCTCTTTTATATCTAGTTTTTTTTTTCAGCATTTACAAAAAAAAAATGGAAAGTGACAACGTTTAGCAATCAAAACGTACATATTGACCTTTTTGTGATTTCGATTTGATCACCTTTTCCATCCAAAACTTGAGTTTAGCAAGAACTGACGATTCCTTGAATGTGTTCAAATGACATATTAAGAATTCTGTTAACAGGCTTAGTTAATCACAAAAAATGATAGGTATTTTGTATTTCTATTTTACCAGATATCCGTATAATTAAATCATTCGTTTAAATAATGCCATTTGCGTTATTAAATTTTAAAAATCACAAACAAAACAAACATGTTCCTCTTAGAAATCAAAGAGTACAAAGGACACAGAAAATAATTAGTGACGAATATTGATACCCTTCATTAATTTGAAATGTACGTCTATGAATATGATAAAGCACATAATAGGCTGTTATTCATAACTTGTACTTCAACTTCTATCTTGATCTGGCCTTTAAACTAGATCGATTCGGGCGTCATTGAGGAGTCATTTGTAGACGAAACGCGCGTCTGGTTAAAATAATTATAGTCTGGTATCTTTGATGAGTTTTCTTCTTTTATTCTGTAAAGCTTATGACGAATACTGTAAAAAATAACAACAAAAAAACTGAATAAAAATCGAAGTATACCATTGTAGTGGTTAACCTTAAGTGAAAGGAGATTTATAGTTTCGTCAAGGAGACGACAACCTAATAAATTAACAATACCACAAAAAACTCCTGAGACACAAAACAAATGTTTCTTCACTTTTTAGGTAAACATATAAGAAGGAAATGGTAAATTTATATAAAAGCGATCAAAGCCACAGGATTATGTGTGGACAATGCACAATGAACGCCAACGGAATATGACAATATTGATATTTTTTAGTCTCGTACATTAAAAAACAAATTGTTCAATATTATGTTAATTTATTTATCAAAAGATTGCATTATAACGTTTAATTATTTCAGTTCGGAAATATAAGATATGATTTGTTTGATGTCTTGTACAAGTTATGTATATGCCAATGAAATATTTTATTACCAATTATCAATTCACTGATAGGTTTTACTAAACACGATATATTAAGTGTCGGAGAAATACGCTAGGTTGAAAGCGATATTTCCTTAAAAGTAGACAGAGGAAAGTCAAATAAGAACGAACTGATAAACATGAATAGCTATTCTTTGAAACAAATAAGCACCTACAATTAAAAAGAAAAAAATTAAAAGACCAGTTGCTGATGATAGAACCTTCACATAAAGAAAACGCTTGTAAATTTTTTAAAGATACATTTTAAATTCAGTGAAATTCGCAACAACGTCTGTCTTGAATATGAATACAAAAAAAAACTGTCACGAAAAAAGATCCTTTTGTCGTTTTGTAACCTTATAAGATGATTTAAAACATTTTTAGGAAAGTAATACATTGCATATTGTAATATCGGCATATAAACACCGACAAGATCTAAGAAAATAAAGTAATGGTAAATGACATCACCATCGGGACGTCAATACGACATCATGTTACACATTCCGAGTTCCGAGAAGAAAATAATTAAAGCTAGCAGGCTTATGATATGCGTTTTTGTCTACTTAAGTTTCACCAGAGGCGCTCGAATCACCGTGCACTATATTTCATTAGACAATTGAAACTAATAACTGTTCAACTAATAATATGTTAACTATTTTGCTTACCAAACTATTTTCGAATTTTAAATATGTCCAAGTAAATAATATTGGTCAACGATTCTTAAATATGAAAGAAAGTTGATTAGGATAGTCAACTGCATATTATATTTTATTTAATTCCCTTGGTTTTATTTCTTGTTTTGTTTTGTTTTTGTTTTTGTTTTTTTGTTGTTTTTTTTTTTTTTTGTGTTATTTTTAAAGTTGCTTAAGTTTTTCCACTATGATAACCAACTATTGCCGTCAATAGAAAAATAATTGACTTGATTTTGTGTACCTCTATATTTTTCCTGTGTGTGGTTATTTTTTAAGAAACTTCAACTTATTCTTTATAGAGTTTATGTCATGTATGAGTTGCAGAAATAAGTATCTAACTCTAGATTGTATCTTGCAGTCATGGGATATGTGGGTATTTATATGAAATGCAAAACCGTTCAACGGTATTTAAAATTAGACAATCTTCGATGTGTAAACATAGGAAACATTTAATTATTACTAAAGTAGGGTATACAGGAGTGATCGCTAATTTTTTATTAACCTCAATTAAATGTCATTTTTTAGATTGTAGTCTCATTGAGGATGTTTTTATAAAGTTAATACGTTTATGTCAACATTGAGTTAATTGTCAAAATTCATAAAGAACAGATCTTTAAATATTTTTCATTGCATGGGGTTTTGTATGCTATCTTTCTTTTGTATGTGCTTAAGAGGTGTTATTTTGGATCATATTTTAATGTGAGTGATTTATTTAGTGTTATAAAATTGCTCTGATGAATACTTTATGTAATGGTGTTGATATAAGGAAAGATTTATTCTAAGAAACCGAGATAGAAAAACTTATCCTTAGCGTCAATAGGGAAAAAAATGCGATGTTCATTTCGATCAATCATGTAAAGAAAGCGTGTTAGTATGAGTGCAATATCAAGAGAAATTATATAAAAACTATTTATATTTTAAATTGATGATCGATTGTTGCTTGTTTAATGTCTAGTGACAAATATTTCATTTAATTCGATGGGGAAACAACATTTCAATTGTTTTGTGACTATTGTTATTTGATTTTCCTTGCTCTAAAGCTATAAAACGTCACGTTGTTAAAAAAACGTCATTTTAAAAGTGATAACAGAAGACTAAATAGACAGGGAGATATATATCTATGATGTATATGTCATTTTGTTTTACTATACAGTACTATCAATTATTCATTCGAATTAAACCTTACTATCAACTACAAAACAAAAGTGTAGGCGGCTTTGCTAGATTTATTTGTATGTTTTTGATTTTCGAGTCAGTTGTGCTGTATAATTATTTATAATGTATGTTTTCGAAATTTTGACTGCTGGATCCAAATTATTGTCACATAACCTACAGCTGTATTGTGTCTCTATGGGTCGCTTAGCTATATTTGTCTCCAATATAACTTCAACTTCAACTTTTATTAACACTCTAGACAGTTTACACTGTTACAAGAGGCAGACAAATGATAAAAAAAAACGGGACAACAAATGACTGTTATACAAGTGGGAGGCTGAAACTACCTTTTACACAAGGTTTAATTGCCATTTTTTTTCTCGGAAAATGCTTGTACCAAGTCAGGAATAAGGGAGTTGTTTTTCAATCCTTTTTTGTAGGTTGAAATAGTCGAGCGTTTGGGTTTGTCAGGTGTTATAGACTTTCTTCTCCTTGAATTTACCTGAGAGTTCGTTCATTTTGTTAAAGCATGTTTAACCCAACCTTTGTGTTTATACAGAAGATGCTGATTTAATCATAGACACGCTCTATTGAGCGATGCAGCATTAGACAGAGACCGATGTCTATTGAACCTTGTGTAATAACATAAGCAACACGACGGGTGCCACAGGTGGAGCAGGATCTGCTTACCCTTCCGGAGCACCTGAGATCACCCCAAGTTTTTTGTGGGGTTCGTGTTGCTTAGTCTCTAGTTTTCTATGTTGAGTCATCTGTACTATTATTTGTCTGTTTGTCTTTCTATTTTTGGCTATGGTGTTGTCAGTTTGTTTTCGATCTATGAGTTTGACTGTCCCTCTAGTATCTTTCGTCCCTCTCTTGTATAAGAAGATATTCATCTGGCACACATTTCTTATGTTTTCAACTAGTTATTACCTGTTTCCCATCGCCAATAGTTGAAGTACATGGGACTTGTCGTACTAGAGGACGCTCACATGATTCATTCTCATTGATGACTGATTATATTCTTTATTTAAAAGAAAGTCAAAATGAATTTAATTTTTCATCATATGTTAGGATCCGATAATTTGTTACTCAGTACTATTTACCTTTTAAATCTCAAATCATTTATTATTTATCTCAACAAACTTTTATTTTTCATTAGCATTTGGTTTTATTCTGAACTGTTGCAAGTTGCAAGATACACTTTGTCATATTATAGGTAGGATGCGAATTTGCACAATCTAAAATAAACACACCACTACAATTGTATTGATATCTGGTAAAAATAAGGAGATGTGGTATGATTTACAATGAGACAACTATCCACCAAAGTTCAAATGAAGTGGATGTAAGCAGTTATAAGCATCCGTACGGCCTTCAGCAAGTGTATTTTAACAAGACACTTGCTTAAACACACGCAGCTGCATTATAACATGTATAACTAATATACAAAAAAAAAAAAGAAAAGAAAAAACTACAATTGACAAAATTAAAAAAAAAAATTAAAATTTATTATCATTATTCTGCATGATATTTTTGAGTCAGCATTATTACAAGGACATGGGAGAAATATCAACATGTGGGAAAAAAAACGGGATGTTCCATCACATACATATCTTAAGTTTGACATGAAATGGTCTAAATGTTTTAAGCTAGTTTCAATTCTGACCATTTTGATTGATTATTATGATTATTTTTACAACGTCATTGTCGTATTTAATTGTCATTAAAATATTGGTCTTCATCATTGAAGATTGTCTCGATACTTCTGGAAAACAATAAATGATAGTGTCTCGTCCATTCTATCAATGTTCGACCGATCTGTGTCTGGTAATCTTAAAAAAATATATATATAATATTTATATTAATCCAGCCAAAAAACAAACATACTATCAAAATAAGTTTTATAAGCTTTTACAACGTAATGCACGTATGCCGTGTCAACAATTTGTCAAGGTTTCTTTATATTTTGTATATCATTTAAACAATTAAAATTGGAAAAAAAACATAGGTTAAATGTAAAATGCCAAACACGTAATCAATCAATACCTTTATGTTCTATAGATCAACTAAGCTTATGTGGATATTTCTGAATCTCTGTCATTCCACAAGTACTAAGAGATTTGTTAATGTGACTCGTATTCAATGTCAACACCTATTTAAGATTAATACCGTGTTTTGGAACGCTAATCCTTGCATCCGTGTTTATTGCGACATTAAGATATGATAGGAAGTCTGTTATACGATGTTTCAATTGATGTATATTATAACATCGGTATTCTTTTTATTAGCTTGTGTCAGTATTTGATGGTGTTGCATTTTAGTATAATTATATTCATTTTGCTCTTCGTGAATCTTGTTTCACTGTTTGTAGTGTTGAATTAAATTATCTGTAATGTTAGCTTTAACTGTTTTTGCTATTGTGACAACCTAAACCCATAATTGAAAAAAAACTAAACATCCTTGTCAAATCTACAGGCAGCTTAATATATCACATTGTCAACGGAGAGCCAAATATATCGATGGCATAAATTACCAAAGCCTCTGAAAACGAATCTAGCGTATAATTAACATGTCTTCTTCACTCTCACCGTAGTCTTCTTTTTAACAGTATAAATGAAGTCAAATGATCATATTTTTTTTCTTGTACATTTGTGATTTAGCTTACATGATATTTTATTTCGTTTTGGATAAAATGACGTTGTGAAATGGACTTATATTTAATTAACAATCGTGCAGAATGTTATTAACTAGTTTAAAATAATTTACTACTCACCTCAATATCAATGCCATCAAACGGATAAATTTAATTAACTACTAGATCAGAACAATAAGGTAACAAACATTACAATTGGCATGTTATTTGTTTTAAGTATTTAACAACATACAGTATCAGAAACAATTGATTATACCAAAGATCATATTAATTATACCGAATTATACTTATTACCGGGTTTGCACTAATATGAGCAACACGACGGGTGCCACGTGTGAAGCAGTATCTGCTTACCCTGTCGGGTCACCCCCAGTTTTTGATGGGGTTCGTGTTGCTCAGTATTTAGTTTTCTATGATGTGTTTTGTGTACTATTGTTTGTCTGTTTGTCTTTTTCTTTTTTATCTATGGCGTTGTCAGTTTATTTTCGACTTATGAGTTTGAAAGTCTCTCTGGTATCCTTCGCCTCTCTTTTACGTTATGACGTAACATGAAATCTAAGTATTTTTGTTATCAAAATATTGGAGTGATTTACATTATTAAACTTGCACATGCAATACAGAAAAGAACCGTACCGTTCAATATGTTATACAAAGCGAAACAGATAGATTAGTAGAGATAGATATAGAACGTCAAAAACTAGTTTTGTATTATAAATGTATGATGACAATGTCTACAATCACTGCCATGTATATTCTGACTGTTTTATGTGTGAAGTCAAAATTGACTGACATAATAACCGTTTGTTTAATAGATACTGAACGTATACAGTTTTGTGTGCGACGCTCACAATGTGTTCCCTTGTGTGTTTATAATCGGTCTGCTTGAAAGAATTCAGTTTTGTAGAATTTTTATGTCGATTATTTCAAATTTCGGCACATAGTTAAATATTTACATCTTTATAGTGTACGCATGTTAGTGCGTCATTTAGACACACAGTAGTTATATTATTCTATGCATAAAAGCGGCAAGCAGTAACAATTTTTTATATTCTAACTAATGAGTTATTACAATAATATAGAGAGAACTATATATAGAATTAAGTTGTCGTGTACATTCTTAACAAACAATATCTAACAGAAGTCAATTAAAGTAAACTAGCTTCCATGATAGAACCATGGTCGCTAAAAGAAGCTTTGGAAACTAACAAAACAAATAAATAAGCAAATAAAATACATATAATAAATTCAGTATTTTATCGGTAGAAACATACTTCATACAACTGTCATGCAGACGTCATGTTTCAATTTAGTTAATGTTAATGTTTTAGAATATTTCTAAAAGTTCAAATATTTGTTTATTGTTAAATTTTAATATCATAACAGATCATTTGCGATAGAAATACATTTATATTTTGAAAGTGAAGTAGATGCTGGTTTATTCATATAAATATATATATACTGACATATTCCCTGTTTCTATTCTCTTTAACTTTATATATATATATATATATATATATATATATATATAATGTTTAGAAGGAGACGCTTATCCTGTTGAATAAACAGGTCCCGATCATTGTGTAATTAAAGTGATTCCCTTACTCTGTGTTTGTTGCCATGATTTGCATTCTTCGTCAATATGTTAGATTTGAACATCGGTAACTTATAGTTGCGCAAATTTCTGTATAAGTACTTACGTTTTTCCTTATATACAAGTAAACCATATATTCTTTTGGTACCTGCGTATATGACACTCGCTGATGTGACTGGTTGCAATGTGACTTTGAGTATTTCATTAAAATTTACACAGTATATTTCGTCATCTAGTACATAGATGCCTACGTTTTGTATGGTCGTATTCGTGCTAAACAATTTCCTGTCATTAGTTCCATTCAAATATGCAGATTTCAAATCGCCTGTTGCGAAGTTCATCCAGTAAAGTCTTTCTTCGATGAAATCTTAAATGAAAATGCAATCAGTGTGAACATATTTATTCATGCATTCACAGCAACGGTGAATCTTGATATCTTTATGTAGTTCATATGGAAAGTTTTTAAATAATATACAGATTTGTTCGTCCTCTCATATGATTATTTTTGTAGACCATCATTTTAACATCAACTATAATTCAGACATATAACACCCTCTCCTCTACTCCCTCTCTCTCTCATTTAAAGACTGTCAGACACTATACTAAAAACCAGTCCGAGCCTGAAATTGGCACTTTTTGTACTCGACTGTTCTGAGTTTTTCTCGATCAATCTGAATTAGTCTGAATTTTACACGATTTTACTTGACTGTAATCTGAAGCATACTAAAAAGTCTGAACTCATACTCGACCATGCTAAAATAATTTCAACCCATTTTAGACATGTACTCGTCCTGTGCTTAACCAGTTTTCGACCTTTTTTTTAAATGTCTTGACAATGCTCGACCTAATTAAAAAAAGCGAAAATAACCAAGTGTTTATTAAAACTCGTCACTTGAAAACCACCTGGCAATGTTATAGCAAAATTGAAAAATGACAAAAAGGCAACAGTATACAAAATACAAAATGGAAAATTAAAAACAACGCAAACACCACCAAAAAACCGGAATTGGTCCAAATGCTCCGCAAGTTTTAACAAATATATTTCCACATTTGATTTTTGTCATGTTTCTCTTATAATAACATACCGTGCCAATTTTACTGCAACACTTCGGATGCATGAAATTTGTAACGAGTTGTTCTCATTTTTAAATGTCTCTTCAGTGACTCTTGAGACCATAATAAATAGAAATCAAAAACCGTATTCAAACGTTGAAGAGCTTACCATACCAAAAATGACCTTACAAAATGAAAACAACAGGTTATAAATTTCATGCGTCCGAAGCGCTTTTCTGGATTTACCTTCATCAGGAATGATCAAAGCCGAATATTTGAAAGCCAAGGATGTATAAGAACCAAAAAAGTTGAAGATTTATATTACCGAAAAAGGACATAAGGTCAACTTATATATATTTGGAAAACTTGTAGAATTTTTACATTGATTACATCTGAACGGTACAAGCAGTAAAGGGGCATATAAGCTGTGTTTTTTATTTGTTTAATAAAACACTAAGATCAGTAATAAAGTTAGTTCAATTGCAATATCAATTTGAAAATAAGGACATGTAGTATGATTGTCAATGAGATAACTATCCACCAAAGTTCAAATGAAGTAGATGTAAGCAATTTAAGGCAATCGCACGGGTGTCGATTGTCATTTATATAATTTCAGCCATTAAACGTTCACCTATTGATCAGCGTCTTCAACAATGCTATTTACTGAATAACAATTTCGGAAAACTTGTAGAATTTTTACATTGAGGACATCTGAACGGTACACGCAGTAAAGGGGCATATAAGCTGTTTTTTTTATTTGTTTAATAAGACACTAAGATCAGTAAAATAGTAAGTTCAATTGCAATATCAATATAGAAATAAAGAGATGTGGTACATGTATGATTGTCAATGAGATAACTATTCATCAAAGTTCAAATGAAGTGGATGTAAGCAGTTATAGGCAATCACACGGGATTCAACAATGACAAAAACCAATACCGTATAGTCAGCATTAAAGTCTTCAACAGTTCAATTGAGAAAACTTACGTCCCAATTTATAACAAAACATGTTACGAAAAACAAATGTGACAGACATGAATCAACGACAAGCACTGAACTACAGACTCCTGACTTTGGACAGGCACATACACAATGTGACGGGGTAAAACATGTTTGAAGGCCCTAACCTGGGACAGTGGTGTAAAAACATTTCCCTGAATTCATAGTTTACACGTAATACTTGATATTTGAACTGGTAAATGATTCTATTATACAAGATATATCGCGATTCTTTTTAATGAAAAATAAATAACGATATTATTTGAATTTAGATCCATAAGATAACATACCTATACTCAAATCCGAAGCTTCCTCCTCAATCACTGTTTGATTTCTAGTACCATCTAATCGTGATCGTCGAATACTTCTTTTTTTCGCCGTTAGTGTTGTACTATAGTACAACCACCTGCAATGTTGATTTAAAAAGAAAAAACATTGAAGCATCACTTTATAAATTGAGTGATATTTGTGTAATATAACACAAAAAAATAAAACACAACTTGCAGCTTTATTGAAATTCTTGAAAGTCTTCTCAAAGCGGTAGTATTTCAAATGTTTTAATATTTTTCTTATTTTTATTATTTTAGCTCATGTTTACGGACGTTGTATTCTTGGTTCTCCACTATAACATGTTTAAATCTGCATTTCTTAATTTATTATTAGATATATAATAATCATCAAAAAGACAAAATATCAGTGTTAGATTAGTTCCTGCTAGGATATCTGTGTTTTTATCGATAGGAATGGAAGGCATATCAGTTATCATTTTCTTTTATTATTTATTAGCGCTGGGTAAATACTCTTGCCTGTTACTCCACTATGATGTCATCTTTCCAACAGTTAATGCTTGAATATTAACGTGATGTTTAATAGAAAAACAAAGGATATGGAGTATCCATCCATGAAACAAAATCAGTACATGCACAGCAAAAAATACACAAGCTAACTGTATCATTATAGTTAAATTATCCGTTGAAAATTAAGAATGTTTTATATTGATCAGCAAAAAAGGTTCCTACATCTTCATTCTACGCTTACCTAAGATAAATTCGATTTAGGTTCCTGAGGGTCAAATAGCCCCTGGAGTGTTCAAGTTTTTATAAAATTTCTTTAAAAAGACTTTAAAATGGTTTGCTTGAACGTTCCTTGAAGTGAAGTCTTTTTATTCTTCATTAAAATAACAAAATAGATACAAACCTGTACCGATAGTCTAATGTTAGGGCAAAGAGTGGATCATCATTGAGGACAAGGAATTTATCAGATCCATTTAAATTACATCTATAAATATTTCCAGCTTTTCCAACGTTATATTCTGTCCAATACACATTGCCGTATAATGGATCAATGGCAATACCTATTGGTACACTTGCATTAGTCACAAACTCCGGTGTGTAAGCTTGATCAGATGGATACTTAACTCTAAGAATAAAACAGTATTAGAATTGTGTTTAAGTTTAACTCTTCAAATTTGTTTTAAGTTTTGGATTTTCAAATATACATGTATTGGTTTCAATCATCACTAAAGAAACATCAAGTGCAGTACTATTTGTATAGTTAATGTTGATTGTACCACTAGTCTTATACTTGAGCGGTGGACTGTAAGTACAAGAGGGCATCATTAGTGCAACATCTAGTACTTCGGTATCAACATGAAATAAATTTAAATAAAGAAATGCATTTCCCTCAGTCATAGCTCTGATTCCTCGTCCGGCTTTAGCACTAAGTTCTTTCCTTTTTGGTTTTATCAGCTCTTCAACGTGTGTATTGCGATTTGGGTTTTTTTATATTTCCGACCTAACCATTGCAGAAGATACACGAATCATCGAAATGCGCATCTTGATGCAGTAAAATTGTAATTGTCACTTTTATCATAGTTTTTTTTTTTTAACATTAAACCATTAACAAAGAAGATCTCTAAATATGGTATGTTCGTCGTGCATAATAATATAACCTGTAACTTTTCACTTAAGGTCAATCGAGTGACGAGGTGTTGACTATTCTTGCAGATCCATAAAACTGGGTTAATGGCATGACATTTGTCAGTTCAACGCACAGTCACGTATTTATACATAATATGCATTCTTTGCTTAATTCATTGTATTCCTAACAACTGTTTACACATAACACATGTGTAAAAGTTGATATGCGGCTTCAACAAACTATTATATAAGTAACTTGGAACAAATAGTGATTGCTATATGTTCTGAAAGGGGCTCTCTATTCGAAAATTGTATTGCACAAATTCAGCAGACCATTAAGTTATTTTAAAACTTATAATAGAATAGATATGTTCGGTACACGTGACTTTAAAAGCTTCGGACATACATTATGTTGATTGATATGTTTGTTTGAATTTTTCAGCCAATTGCGTTGAACGCATGCTGTGATGTATTGGTTACACAGTTTTTGGCACATTTGTTGTAGCATTACCATTTATGTCTGTTCGGGTTGCTCGTCCTATTTTGTCAATACAACGGAACTATAAAAAAAAACTGTCATACAAGTGGAATGTCAAGCTAGCTTTAAAACCAGGTTTCACCCACTATCTTCTTCATGTTCTTTTGAAAATGCCTATATGACAGTTGTTTATCATTTGTCCTGAAGGTTGGTATGATTTAACTTTGATTTAGTCAGGTTGTATTGTCGTCCCCCTTTTTGAATTTACCTAAGTCTTTTGTTTTTGCTAGTACTGGTTATACATCATAGAAATTAACCAAAAAATATGCAATGAATGACATGGATTATTTATCGTATGTGGAACTACAGCTTGATTGGAAGAATGGTTTATCGGAGGCTATTAACGGTTTCTGTTAACCCTACAAAAGTGTTTGAATAACTACATCACCATTAACAACGATTACACCGATGAAAATAATGCGTTGGTTCAAACAGAGTACTCGCCAATAATGTCCCTCGGATGCACTACTAAAGTGGGTTAGTGCAGTATATGTACTACCGACAAACAAATAAACTAAATAACATTGTATCAAATACTATGAATAAAAGGAGATGGGTATGGTTGTCAACCAAGCAATTACCCTCCAGAGACCAAATGACGCAGATATATCAAACACAGCTCATCGTACGGCATTCAACAATGAGCAAATTCAATATCAAACAGCAAGATGTAAAATGTTCCATAATTATGTGTACTGCCCGTAATGGGTTGTAATAGACTTGACGGTTATTACAGCTATCTCTAGGGGAAAACTAAGTAAGTAGAATGTACATTTAGCAGAACACACCGTACAAAAATGTGTATTCTTTTAAGCAAAATATATACTTGTTGCAAATCTCATTTAAAGTACGACTTGAGAAACCTAGGAACGCAGAAAAATCTTGAAGTTGTTGTGTTTCAATTCAAGAAATATTTCGAAAAATAAAGAATGGGCAATGCTTGTTATTCTATAAAATGTATGAGTTCTCTTACCTCTGTATGTCGTTCTTGTGTAGTCTTGGAATATATATATATCCATTGTTATAATCGTAAGCAATCGAATACACGTCGCTCTGTAGATTAGTTAATATATATGATACGCGTCCAGTGTCCAAGTTGAATTCATATATTCTACCATTACTATCAGTCATGTTAGTTGAAAAGACAAGCTTACTTGGAAAACCTGAAATATAAATTGAATAAGTGGCGTTTTTATTTTGTGTTTTAAGTTGCCACCGATCAATTAAAATATGAAAATAAACATGTAGTGATGCAGTATGATATTAACATGGCAGAGAGCAACCAACCACAGCCACTGAATTACAGCCTCCTGACTTGGCACAGACACATAATGTTAATAGCATTTAAGTTATGTATGTTTAAACTATTGGTGTGTAAAATGTTAAGCAGCATACATTGTAGCAGCTGACAGTAACATAATTAAGTAACTTTTGAATGACTTCATGCAGTATATTAAACAACAGTAAAGGAAATTCAAACACCGTTTCATTTTGCACAGTATATCATACTTTAACCAAAATCGTCATCGGGATAAGAAAATTTAGAAGTAAAAATCGGATAAAACACCATATTGAAACTACTAATTATTTACATGTAGAGCCTCTGGCCTTTGTTAGTTTTGTATTTTTTATTTTTTTTTTCATTTTAACTCATTTATATGTTTCGGAGTTAAGTGTGACGTCTATTTTTACTGAACTAGTACAGTACTTTTTTGTTTAAGGCACCAGCTGAAGCCTGCCTCCGGGTGCGGGACTTTTTTTTTTCGCTGTGTTGAAGACCCATTTGTGGCCTTGGGCTGTTTTCTGCTCTTTTGTCGGGTTGTTTTCTCTTTGACACATTCCCCATTTTCATTCTAAATTTTATTTTTATACCTTAATCTACGTAATCTGTCATACACGTTAACATTGAAATGCAAATAAAATAATAATTACGTTGAAAATCAAAGATGCATATTCCAAAAAAAAATAAATACCACACTTATATACATTTTATATCGTTTCTTATCATTGTACAATGCAAATTTCATCAAATGTATTACAGATCAGAAATTAAAGAAAAGTGTATAGCTAGATTTCCTCCTTAATAGTAAGACTGTTATCTTTGAATAATGTTTATCTTGACACAATTATCAATAAATAGATATAAGAAGATCTGGTATGAGTGCCAATGAGACAACTCTCCATCCAAGTCAAAATTTATAAAAGTAAACCATTATAGGTCAAAGTACGGTCTTCAACACGGAGCCTTGGCTCACACCGAACAGCAAGCTATACAGGGCCCCAAAACTTACTAGTGTAAAACCATTCAAACGGGAAAACCGACGGTCTAATCTATATAAAATACGAGAAACGAGAAACACTTATAAACCACATCAACAAACGACAACTACTGAACATCAGATTCCTGACTTAGGACAGGTGCAAACAATTGCAGCAGGTTTAAACGTTTTGATGGTACCAAACCTTCACCCTTATCTGAAACAAAAGTGTAACATGACAACATAAAAAGACACTGTTTAAAGTCTGTTTAAAACGTCTGACATGATTTTTTACAAACTTTTTCTAAATTCTCCATTGAAAAAATTACGAAATTACCAAGAAATTAAAATTCCAACTCCCGCAGATTAGTTCAACAGGGATGAATTTGGCTATTATGAAGGTCTTTTTTGTCAGATAGCTCTTTTCTTGATTAGGTCTAGTGCATATTTGTTTTTCAAACATGTATCTGTGAGCGTTCCTGGTGACAGTAAATAAAAAAGGGTTCCGGATGCTTGAAATTAATAAAGTGTTTTTTTTCATTTTAAATAACGACATAATAGTGCATGTGTTATTTCAATTGCTGATGCTATGTGTAGCAATTTTAAATCATTTCCAAATTAAGTAGTGTGGGATCACTATTAATTGAATAACGATAATTGCTATTAGGTTACGCTGAATAAATGTTGATTACGCCATGCACTTAGTTTTCTATAAGTTAGCAGTAGTCCTAAATATGCAAATGAAGATTTATCGAAGTTCACGAACTTATAAAGCTTAATTCAGAGATCATCTTAAACTCGAAATATAATGATTATATTTGCTTTCTGCTGGAAGCTTCATGTTGCTTTAATGTTTAGAAAAACAATTGCAATATTTGTTTTGTTTGTTGCTTCCTACACATGTACTGATGTTATGTAAAGTATGGATACATCATATCTTTCTTTTATCTAAGCGCAATTGAAATTTGAGAAATTGTTTCAAATATCGATTGTGTTGTATTTTCAATATCCTTACTTGCACGCTTTGTTAGCTTAAACCTAGCAATTACGGTTTTTCTGCTTATAATCAAAAGTTCTGACAGAAATGACATGAATGATGTACTAGTACTTAGTATTGTTGATAAACACACGGTATATATTCCTAATTATTTTAAACACTGTTGATCTGGAAATTATAAGCACTAGGACATCTCGAAATACAAAAATAAAGAAACTGTTGTAAACCTTGTCCATTTTGACGTTTATGTCATGCTATCCTTTATTTTTTTCAGTTTTATAGACTTCCTTGTTATGGAATTACCTTGGTATATCTGTGATACGTTTTTACAAAACGAATATTCAGTGAAAAATGTCTGATGTCGTACGACATTTAATTAAGGCCAACCAAATAAACGAATTTCGGGAATCAATAATTCATATTGTAATTCACTCCATACCAAACGAGACATATGTATTGATTCGGAAAACTTACCTTTTGATTATCACAAGAACAAATCGTTGATTCCTGTGTGCCCTATTTGTGTTCGCTTTTAATGAAAATCTTGTTATTTTGTCATCGTTTTAATTGCTGTTGGTTACTATTTCCTCTATTTATGTTTTGTTGGATGTTGTTTAAGCATAAATCAGACCATTTGTCTTCATTTTTGAATTTTATATCAAAATAAGGAGATGTGGTATGATTGCCAATGAGACAACTATCCACCTAAGTTCAAATGAAGTGGATGTAAACAATTATAGGCAACCGCACGGCCTTCAATAATAGGGAAAACCCATACCGTATGGTTGGCAATAAAGGCAACGCATGAAAAATATGAAACTATAAAATTGAGAAAACTAACGGCCTAATTTATAACAAAAAAATTTAGGAAAAAAAATATGACAGACATGAACCACTGGCAACCACTTAACTACAGGCTCCTGACTTGGGACAGGCACATACAGAATGTGGCAGTGTTAAACACGTTAGTGAGCGCTCAACCCTTTCCTAACCTGGGACAGTGGTGTAAAAGAGGGACGAAAGATACCAGAGGGACAGTCAAACTCATAGATCGAAAACAAACTGACAACGCCATGGCAAAAAATAAAAAGACAAACAGACAAATAATAGTACAGATAACACAACATAGAAAACTAAAGACTAAGCAACACGAACCCCACCAAAAACTGGGGGTGATCTCAGGTGCTCCGGAAGGGTAAGCAGATCCTGCTCCACATGTGGCACCCGTCGTGTTGTTTATGTTATTACAAATCCGGTAAATAGTCTAATTCGGTAAGTCACATTCGTGAAAAGGGAAGGGTATTGTAGTTACGACATAAGGAACATATCCGATATCATCTGTGAAACGGTTATTCCATAACGGTGTAACAGTACAACATAAGAACAAACTATTATAATCGCTTACTTTGCGGTTGTGGTCTTGCTATTTGTTAAAGGCCGTGCAATAGTTCTTAGATATTATTATCCTTCTCATTTATTTTCTTGTGGATACATTGCAGTCGTCTCAATGACACTGAAACCAAATCTTGTTTTTATTTACATGTACACCAATTGTCTGTATGATTCAGACAAGGTTAACACATTCAAACAAGACCACCATATGGCATTGTATGTTGATTGTACACACTGGGCTAGAATGCTCCTCTGCTTAAGAACGTCGGAATATATTCTTATCCCACTGTATCGACGTAATAAACGTTGTGAAGCTCATGATAAAAACAATGGAAAAATGTATTTTAAAAATCACCAGCACAATTTTATTTAGTTTAGAACGCTGGACACATGGACGATGTTGCCATGATGTAAAAACTGATGTTTATGATTACTGTGGGTTCATTTATTTTCGTGGGTACCAATTTCGTGGATCAAGGATAACTTTCATGTTCGTCGATATTTAATTTCGTGGTTTTGCCGAAGTCTGCATACAAGCCATAGCAAATTTGTCATTCGTTGAACATTTAATTTCGTGGTTCACCTGTACCCACGAAATCCACGAAAATTGGTATCCAACGAATAATAATGAATCCACAGTAGATTGAATATGTGTTATAAATACAACAAGAAATTAATCATTTTGAAGTTCTTGTTCAAATGTTGTTGACATTATGTTATTGCGACATTACAATGCTTTGTTTCAGGTGGGTTTATTTTCTTCATTTTAACAAATTACTGTTTCTGATAAAGACTGGTGTGTTAACATCTTAACATCAAAAGTACTGCTATTACTGTTTTAACACATTCAAATCCTTACCTTGAGTAATTAAACAGACAAAAATTATCAATACGGAGAATATCAACCTGTGCCATTTCATCCTGTTCTACACTGCGAAAAATAATAAATTGAATTATTCAACATGTAGCATAGTTGTCAAAAATGGCAGTGTAAATGAAATACTTTTATAATATAAACAAATCAATTTTCAACCATCATTTTTATCAGAAGCCAAATTAAGCAACATTCGTTTACCGATGTTCAATTCTCATTATTAAATTACGAAGTTACACATCAAAGCAATAAACAAAAACATCTCATGGTCTCTAGAAGGAGTGACACCGGGTGACTCGACAGAAAAGGGTCTCCTTCTTCACACGAATCACCTGCCACGCCATGCGAATCGTCATTCTGTCAAAATGTCATATTTTGTACAAAGCCATACCAATGACAAACACAATCTTATGGCATTTCCGTAATTGTACACGATGCTTTTGTCTCAATATTTGCTTTTTTATTAATATAGAATGTTTTAAAGGTACATTTTACTCGTAATTGAATATAAAAACGCAATTAACGTATTACCTTTGACATATAGAGACATGGTATCTTCAGAGAAATGGATGCTAATGTGTAATCTAATTTGACAGTAATAGTTCCAAGGCTGTTCATTTAATCTCAATTTGGTAACTTTATAATTGGTAAGTTTTTTTTTTAAATCAAGTTACTTTACTTATAACTTGTTATTGGCTTTAAATTACTTTCAGTAAAAGCGAATACCCTTAGATCGGCACTTTTTATCTTTTCCCTTTCTGTTAATTTTTTTTTTTTTTTTTTTTTTTATTCCGATCTGATTAGTTGAACCTTTTCCATAAGATTTGTACAGTTTGTGCTTACGTTGAGCTGTTTCATCTTTATACCAGAGGGTAATGGGATGGTTGAGTGATTACAATCAGGTGCAACCCCGTCATATTGTGCATGTGCTTGTCCCAAGTCAGGTGTTTGTAATTCATTGATTGACTTTGTTTATTGTGTTTTCAATCGGTTCTGTTTGTTGTTTTGTCATAAATAAAGGCAACAGTAGTATACCGCTGTTCGAAATTCATAAATCGATTGAGAAAAAAACAAATCTGGGTTACAAACTAAAACTGAGGGAAACACATTAAATATAAGAGGAGAACTACGACACAACAGAAGCACAACATTAAAATGTAACACACACAGAAACGAACTATAATATATTAATGGCCATTTTCCTGACTTGGTACAGGACATTTTAAGAAAAAATGGTGGGTTGAACCTGGTTTTGTGGCTAGCCAAACCTCCAACTTTTATGGCAATGTTAAATATAACATTAAAATGACAACATTACATGACAGGACTACAATACAAATAAATGGGAGAACATATAGGACAGAGAAACATACGAATAATAGCTAACAAAAGGTACCAGGTTTAAAATTTAATACGAAAGACGCGCGTTTCGTCCACACAAGACTAACCAGTGACGCTGAGATCAAAAAAGTTCGAAAGCCAAAACAAGTACAAAGTTGAAGAGCATTGAGGACCAAAAGTTCCAAAAAGTTGTGCCAAATACAGCTAAGGTTATATATCTGGGATAAGAAAATCCTTAGTATTTAGAATAATTCATACTTTTGCAAACAGTAAATTTATAAAAATGACTATATAATAGATATACATGATAACACCGAAGTGGTGACTAACTACAGAATAAAAAATGATACATAAAACAACATAAACCAGCACATAAAAATTCACAGCCGAGTTAGCCAAAGAGATCAACGCAAAAAAAAAGGTGACATCACATTTGAATTTCTGAAATATCCCCAAAATGGGATAGAATTAGGATAGATTTCAAGATTTGGTTTAAAATACTCATATAACATTTATTAATAACAATGAAAATTACAATACTAGTTAATATAAAATGTGGTAGTAATTAGATAATTAATAGTATTATCTAGCTATGTCGGTGTTTCTTCTAAATCAAACTGTAAACCAAATATATCGTATAAATCAGGCCATTGTTTTTTTTTCCGTTTGAACTGATTCACATGTGGGCATGTCTGGGCCTTTCATAGCTGGCTATACGATAGGAATTTGTTCATAGTTTCCTAAATTCACTTCATTTGATGAGCTGATTAGTTGTGTCATTGTCACATACAGTACTTGCAACCAACGACGTTACTGTTTTAGGGATCAGTCGCCAGCAGTTAACAGTCCGTCATCAATCAGTCAAGTTCACCTCATCAATTAGCCCGTTTTGACCGATAGGAGGTATCGGACAGATTGTACTTAAATACATCACGTTGATCTGTTTTAAATAACTGAACCGTAATTTTGTTTTTTTTAATCAAAATGGTGACGAGGAAAAGTACAAATTGTTTTAGTAAAGAAGCTTGACATTTTTTTTAAATTATGCAGAGAAGTTTTCCTTACTCAAAATGTCATGTCTGTTAGAAGACAAGAGAAATATGCAAACAAAACTTAGATTTAAATTTTACTAAAGTATTCCGAGTATATTCAGTTTGGTTTTCATTACAAAACCAGATGAGTGCAAAAAAAGAGTGTTCTTCGCAATTACTTAAATCTACTAAAATGCAGAAAAGCTCTAGAAAAAAAAAATCAGGCAATAAAACATTGCAGATATCGGTGCATAAGTTTAAACAAAATAATAAATATGGACACTCTAAAAGATTGAAACAAAGTTAATATCTAGCATATTTTCTCTTATAATCGTAATATTTTATAGAAAGCAACCCTTCCCGATGTACGAAATAATTATACCAAAATGCCGGTTAATAATATTAGAATGAAGAGATGATTTCAATTCATTCAACAAGTACAATATTTTAGTATCGTTACACTGGCATTATTCACATTTTTGTATGGAAAAAAAGTCATCCAGCGGTACAAAGGGACTATCATCCAATGACCGTTCATGATATTCATTCAAATGAAACAAAATGTTGTACTAAATTTAACACAAACAAACGTAACAGTATCTATTTCCATATATAATTCACATTCTATTAAAAACAAATACTCATCCAGAGGCATTCAAAATGACTAATTGCAAACAACGATGCATGTATTTCAATAAAAAGTAGAATATTGTCATGTGTTAACAATGCGAACAAACATTTGTATCGTTTCTCTTATATTCAAAATGTATTATGAAAAACAACCCATTCTCCAATACAAAAAGTAATACATGTAATACCACGTGAATGTTGGTGAATTCCAGAGACTTGAAAAATGGGATTTTCCGCTTCTCCGCCTAGCAGGCGGCATGTAGGAGTGAGAGCAAAGACTTGTCGGCTCGGAGTCAGATATCATTGTGCTGGTAAGCTGACATGTCTTCCTGTACTCTTTTACCTTGTGCACTAGCACGTTATGTTTGATTCCACGTGTCGGTAAAGTACAACGCAGGGTTTATATTATTATCATAGTATCATTTTCTCGTCCTCAAAATGGATTCAATTTGCCGCTTGACGTTAAACATCCATCCATATCTATCTAATTTCATCATATTGCTTTTTTTTTTTAAAACAAACTATCCCTATGTACAAAAAGTACTAAAAACCAATGACGATTCCTGATGTTCATTTAAATGGAAAAAAAACTGCATTGCTATGCAACATATAGACAAGTTACTTTATCCTTATATCATTTACACTGTATGAAAAATTACTAATCCAGAGGCACGTACATGACTAATTGCTTATAACGGTGCTTGAATGTCAATAAAAATAAGAAATAAAGGCACTGTTTTAACAATGGGAAAGAAATATTTCAGTTACTTATTTCGTATATTCTTTATATTTCTGAAAATCAACCCATTCTGATGTACAAAAAGAAGTAATTACAAATTTCTTTCGATGATTTCCATTAAAATGAAGAAATTATTGCGCTTTAATGAAGACAAAATGACTGATTGCTAATAAAGGTGCAAATTTTCAATAACACGAAGACATATAGGCATATTTTAATAACAGGAACATTATAGTATATCTTCTCTTATTTTTTTCGTATTCTTTTTCAAACAACTCATCTTGATGTACAAAAAGTACTTAAAACCAATGACGGTTCAAAATATCTATTTTAAGAAGAAATATTTGCATTATTATGCAACATACACAAAAGTTTAAGTAACATTGAATGAAACACTACTAACCGAGAGGCATTTAAATGACTGACTATTCATAACGGTGAATTGATTTCTACAAAAAAAAAAGAAACTTTGCATGTTTATTCAATGCAAACAAAATGTTAGTATCTTTCCTTATGTATTCATAATATTTTAAGAAAAACAGATCGTCCTGATGTACAAAAAGTTCTTATACCTAATGACCGATGATGATTTCCATTAAAACGAATAAAAAGCTGCACTCCTAATGAACGCAAAAAAAGTTTAAGTATCTGTATCCTTATATAAGTCACATTTAATGAAAAAAACATCCATAGGCACTTAAATGATAGATTGGAATACTCCCATGATTGTCAATAAAAAGAAGCTGTATTGTCATTCTTAAACAATGGAACAACAAACAGAGTATCTTAATTTTATCTTCAGATATATTTTTCATTTCTATCATGAGGTACAAAAGTACACATTTCCCATAACGATAGATTATATCAATCAAAATGAAAAAAAATAAAAACATTTGCAGTTTTATTCAATGAGAACAAACATTTAGATATATGTAGATAAAACGAACAAAAATGATACTGAGTACTGATTTAGGTTAATAAATTGTTTGCGCTACTAATTAAAGCAGAAAACATTCCGAGCGTGTCATTATGCAGCAATTACGTAACACATCTAACAGACCACAAAAGAACAATTATTAAGAATAATCAGATAATGTATCAAAAGTAATTGTTTTGTTTTTTATATGGCAAGTTGCAAACAAACTATCAGTTAATCTGCCCTCGTCGAGGTCCGCCTTTATCGCAATTAAATATTGCGGAGTTTGTTTCACGTAAGAATTTAAATCATATAGATCATATGAATCAGTCCGATCCGTGCATATAATTAATTAAATGATTTGATCAATGATGGTTTTCACGGTAACAGTCAAATAGAGTCCATAAGATCATTTAATAAAGCTACATTAAATCGATAACCAAGCATTCAACGATCAGTCAAAATCACGTCGTGGATTAATCACCGATCAGTCAAGTTTACGTTAAGCAGTAATGATTATGGTTACAAGTACTGTGAAACATCACCTTATTGAATATAAAAAGTGTTTTTTTTTTCTGTAATTAAACTGATATTTATGATTCGCTACTTTCGACCATTGTTAAGTTCTGATAATTAAAATAGAAATACACGGTGCAGCATGCTTATACTAAAGTCTAGTACCTTTTCAGTTGTTGTCACTAACTAGACCCTGGTATTTGATTTACTGTATAGGAACTTGTGTTGAATGCAAGTCGTTGGTTGTATCTGTAAATGTATGGCAAAGTACTTAAACTTACGTTTAAGTTGATATATGCTTGTAAAATATATATTTCAGGATAGTGATAATCTTATATTCAGCCCTGGTTTGTCCTTTGTGGTATAGTTTCGAGGGTATCACCAGCCTAGTAGCCAGTTCCGAAATCAAAATACGGATTTTTTTGTTATGAAAATTTGCTGTTAATAAATTTTAGAAATTATTTTAAATTAAGGAATTTATCTCCCTCTTGCAAAGTTCTGATTCCTGGCCCGGCTTTAGCTTTACTTGTTTGTCCTTTATGGATTATAGCTCTTCATCTTTTTAATAAGTTTTAGATTTTTTCAATATTTTGGCCTCGAGCATCATTGAAAAGAAATTTATTGTTGAAATGCGCATCTTGTGTAGAAAAATTGGTACGTTAATGTTATTATTGTACTGTTGCCACCCTGTTTTTTATCCGTACTGCAATTTTGTTTTAACTATTTGATACGAGCTGAAAAAAACGTATTACGTCTTTTATTTTTTTTTGTAATGTTAGACTTAGATTCACTTTTACCGAGTGTCAAATTATATACCTTTGCTACCAAATATAAATGTTTAGCTATCATGCAACGTGTTCAGAAATCAGTTACCCACAGGATGACTTGGAAATACAAATATGGTCAATTTCTTTTTCCGACCGGCAGTAAAACCCCAGGCAAAAGGGGAGGGGGCGGGGTGTCCAATTGGCTGTGCAGAATGTACAAGTACGCATCCACGTCTGGTCAGAATGGGGATGTTAAAACCGATCCCTCTCTGCACGTAAAGAAACCTTGAAACAATCCTATTAGGGGTCCGTAGGCGGACTGTTGCAAGGCAATGATTGCTGTCCCTATCAAGTTTACCCTCATTCTCCTGTGGCAGTCACAAATTTACGTACCTTCATCTAGTATGGCCTCTGTTACAGGACCTACCTATTATATTTATTGTTAATTTGATTTCGTCCTGAATATGCATGGACTATTTGCCACTGAACATTAAGCAACCACCAATCTCTCAATCAAATATCAGTGATCCGTATGTCTGTACATATAAAAACACAAACAATTTAGTCGTATTATGTTAATTGAAAATATATTGTCACGGGGTCATTTGAATTTATGACTGAAATCCATACAATTTTCTTTTCAATACAACTGGGTTTAATATTTTCAGTTCTTTGTTATATGAACAGATGATTTTCTTAACCAACACACATTATATAAATAAGTAAATACACACCTGCGTATCCGATATACAATGTGTTGTTGCAGTTATTAATTAAGTTTACAACCAGTGACAAAAAAATAAGTATTTTGTTTGACTTTATTTTGATAAAAGTCGTCGTTGGAACTGTGGTCAAATGTATATCGCATGTATATAATCATGCACATAACTAAACTACACGTAAACAAAAGCTTCTGCTAATCATAACTTACCAATTCTCTCTGCAAAGTACTTTATTAATGATGTCCATTCGATACATTATCTTTAAATCTAAAATCTAATAATGATTTCCCCCATTGAATTGTTAAGTAAACTAGGTCACAACCTGATATACTCCATGCGCAACATCTATGCACTTCAGTGGTTTTCAGTGTATTTCCGTTTACGTCATCAAGGTCAAACTGTAAGGAACATCTGTGAGATTGGCATACGGGTTCTACGAAGATACATTTATAAATTACTATGTACATTTATTTTACCTTTTCGAAAATTGTGCCTGACTGACTATTTTCGAAAACTACAGATAATACTATTTATCATTGTTTTTTTCGATCACGTAATACTGTTCAGAACAGATGTGAGGATGAAATACATATTTTAAGTAGATGGATACAATCTTATAGATAACTATAGATATTTTTTTAACCTATTTTAAAAATTATGCCTTATAATGAATAGAATTGAAAAATGTACAGATAATACAAAACTAACTATATATATATTACAAATAAAACAATGTGAACATCTCAAAGTCTCACCTTGTTGGTTGTTTTTAGGTATGCTAGGATTGTTAAAATGTACAGAAAGTATAAAAAAAAGAGGAAAAGAAAAGAAAACTGCCAGAAATAGTGACTTTGATTATATAAAGTGCTTGTTTTAAGGTAGCACAATACAAAGATTTTATACCTCCAACTCCCCAGTTTTAAAATGCTGTAACTTTCTTTAAAATGCTTGAAAATTTATAAAAGTGGTATTTATGGATAGCTAACAGATTACTCTAAATTAATGCAATGTTAGTATTATATAACAATTATGTAATTAATTATAATTTTAACTGTGTCTACAAAATTTTACAAGAAATTTCCACTTTCAATTGAAATTAGCTTCTTCATGGATACCCCGAGAGGGTTGATTTTATAATATGTTGTTCCTAGAGCCATTATCTACAAAAGGGTGTCTCAGATTTTGGATAGAATGTATAGATCAAATTTTACATCTAATCAAATAATCTCTACTTTTATGTGGTAAAGATGTTTACACTAATTACAGATTTATGAGAGAATGGAATACGATAGCGATAATTTGAGAAACCCTTTTGTAGCTCCTGCTGTGTTGATTAAGATAACGTTAAAATTTCTTGTGTTGTTATAGAGATGTCAGAGCTAAATTCATTCAAGTGAACTGACAAAGATTTTGCCATTAATTGCATAATAATTGATTTCATAATGATTGCATAACAAAAATATTGCATTCATTTAAAAGATTAATCTTTTGTCTATATATATATACCTCTTTTATTAATTTGTATGCAGTCATAAGAAAGTAACATCATTTTAAAGGTTGGAGATTGGAAGTAAAAAAATCTTTGTTTTGTGCTACCTTAATGCAAAGTATAAGACATGCCTTTGGTTTTTCATAAAGAAAATTACTCCGTAATTACTCTTCACCCAATGGAGTTTTTGCAACGCTATCAAAACACCATAACACATAAGCGTTATGAACACAACACCAGCATGCCTAGACGGAAAAACCCAAAAGTACAAAATCAGATCTCTAGTTATAGTTATTCGAAAAAAAGTTTTACTTAAAAAGAAGATAGGTAGACGGTGTTTTTAATGAGAAAAGAAGGGACATTTTTCTTACTTTGGGACGAACAAATTAACTGACTGTTGTTTGAAAATTGTGTATGCATATTCAGGACAAAGACAAATTAATAACAAATCTGAAAGGTAAGTTCTGTAATAGATTCATCAGAATGCAAGATTGATTTAAACTGCGGCTAGACGTATGTGGATATTTGTTTGTTGAAACCAAAATAAAATGTTGTCTTTAAATAGGCTACCTATGGAACCGTCAAACAAAGGTCTTAACCTGTAGAGAGCATGCCACTCTCAAAATATAGACCATCACATTTTCATGTCCCCTTTCAGGAAGGAAAATATCCAACAACAAAAATTTTAAACCCAACGGATTCCTCGTTGCAGCTTGTTTTTTAACTTTTGGCTTTGGATTAATGCATGTTTCTATACCCCTTTCAGCCTTTAGCAAGGGCATTACTTTGGCGATATTGGTTGTGGGGCAAAAGGAAATGCATTTAACAGTATGGTTTCTTAAAACAATAACTTACATATGTAAACCCATACATATATCCTATATTCATGAAAACATGCTCACAATGTGTTTGTCACGCATCGAGTTGTGACAAACCACCACCTTTTATTTCTCTTTTCGAAACATGCTTTATTAATGGCATTGTACTCCATTATAACTAGCAAAAGTTATGTCATTTTGGACTTTCTGAATAAATACCAAATAACTTCCAATACGTTAGTACGAGCTGTCTCCCATACACCAGGTCTACCCCCCTTAAGTGACTGCAAGCAAATTGTCTTAACAGAACCGAGATAGTTCTTTCCTAAGTCATCCCTTTGGACAAATAAAGTTCAGACAGAGCAAAAACAAAAAGGCACTCGAAAAAAATCAAATAAACAGTTTATGTTTTAGAATAGGAATGCAGTATTTAAAATTATCCTTATTATTTTTTGGCAGATCTGTGACACTCAAGATTTCAAACGTATATGAGAATAAACATTCCGTAAGGCACTTGTTGTCGTTGAACAGAACATAAAGAGTTTTTATTTCATTCAGATGCATGCATTTACTAAATATATGTCATTTCTAAAAATAGCATACGCATTACATCATGTTTTATAAGTAGTAGCTGATCAGACAAATAAAAAAGCCATACATTTAATCGGTGATTTGACTGGTACGCACGAAACTCTTTATCTCGTATTTCCAAAAAAGTATTTCTGTAGAGAAATCCTGAAATCGTTATGTACATAGTGTGTTTAAGGTATCGTATAGACTTTTTCAAAACTGCCAACTTAATTTTACTAAAACATATTTAAAGAGTGTAAGAAAACACATAGTAGATGTATGCATTTACTGTGGGATTAATGAAGCTACACTGTACAGAAAAGATCGTAAAGCGTAGTGCACGTACATGTACTATTTTCACTCACTTACCGCAAATACTGATAATAAATTTATACAAAATATGTTATACTTCCATTCATTTAAACATGGTAAAATTAATCCACACTTTTGCGTTGATTTAAACAAGTTGCTTGTTATAAATTTTGGAAACCACCGGGCCATTTCTATTTCAACAAAATTAACGAAACATAACCCATTACACTCTGACGTATCGTATAAACCTTATTATAGGTGTATATTAATTCCAGCTATTGTCTTTTATAAAAATAGTTATTACGTTTATATGTTAAATGACTCAAATCATACACTTATACGTAAGAATTTTTGTTAATGGCGGTGACATTTTTCTGAAAGATAAAATTACTGGTTGTCTTTTGATCTGTATAGTACAACATGCATTTCCATGCATTACTTTTATATAAGTTGATGACTTTGATATGCCTTTTTAACCAAGGTAAGCAATGAACATGTTATACACATTCAATTGCTATTGAAATAATCATAGTGACAACAAAATAAAAACAAAACAAAACAAAACAAAAACAAAAAGAATACAGAAAAAAGGAACGTAAAAGCAAAACTCGAAAACAGCAAAAAGGAAAACAGAAAAAAGTCTAAATACTAACATAGACTATATCCTGACTTAGGACACATACCAACATGCGGCGGGTTTAAACATGTTTTATGAGATCTCAACCCTCCTCCTCTACTTATAGCCAATTTGGAATGTACAAACACCCATCAAAGGCAAAGTAAAACTAAGTTCAAAAGAAGTCGGAGTCCAATGTAAGAATAAGGAACAGAAGAAACTTAGTCAAATGACAATGATAAACATAAACTAACAAAGGACTACTAGCAGTTACTTACATGCCAGCTCCAGACTTGAATTTAACTGATTGAAAGATTATGTCGTGATCATATGAATATCAACTTCAATCCCTCCCGTTAGGGGTTTAGTATCATGTCATCATGAAATATACGAGAACATAACCTGTGTCTTGCCAAAAACCGGTTTGAAATAAATTTGTTTATTTCGGATACGAGAACCCTATCAGTGAATCAATATTTATTCAAAAACAAAATTTAGTACACATTTTTACAAGTTGTTGATATCGGAAACCCTTGTGTAATAATTTTATATAACCAAAGAGATTTCTTTCGTTAAATCAAATGCTTTGTTGCATACACAAAGAACTCGAACAACTTTAGATATATAAACACCATATGATGGTGCAAAGGGAACATTATCAATCTACTAATGAATAATTAACAATTGGAAATGAAAAATCATCACTCTAATCGTAAATTTGTGTATTCAGCTTCAAATTAGAGATATAGATGTCAAAATCCAGGAAGGGGCAGTGTTCAATGCTAGTATTAGCTTTAGGTATAGTAAGCCCAACAGGATACATCTCTTCAGTGTACATATTGAAGTCGTAATCACTGAGAGCCAAATCATTATCCAAATATCTAAAAGCGTTATTAAATTCTGTGTCAGACGTTGTTTTGATGGGTCTTTGCTGATTTAAGACATATATTGTGATTCGTAAAAATACATAAACAGGTCCACAATAAGTGGTGCATAGTTATTCTACATTGGAAATCCGTTAGCTTGGCAATATACAGAATCTCCATACCGTTGCTATTAAATAATGACCTAAAAGAATTTGAATATATATATGCACATTCTGACTTTTTAAATGCCCATTTAATTAGGCATGTGGAATAATTCTTTAAAATGAGACGTGTGTGTATATAAGATGTGGCTTTGAAACACGATTTACGTTACTGAGAAGTGTCGACCACTTTTTGTTCTATTGGTCTTAATGTTACCACAAATGTTGTTCAATTGAAATGAAGTAGTAGTGGGACGGGTGTTTTTATGCATTTCCCTAATTACCGGATATCAGAATTCATGAACACAGCTTTTGAATTCGTTTACTTCTGACAAAAAAGGGTAAATTTGAAGGGTAATTTGACTTGCGATTTCAGCGGAAAAAGAACAACTTTACCTGTCCTTGCAGATATTTATTTGCAATTTGATAACATACAACTTGTAATGCTGATGTTAGTTTTTGATATTGTCTACATCTGTAATACATGGATTTGTTTGTTTTTTTTATAAATTTAAATATCGATAAATTGCTATTGCTATACAGTAA